TGCTCTAGAGAAGAGCGCTTGAACACCTTGTGGAAATATACCCACTGATCCACAGAATCGATAGACTGGAACTCCCTTCTCTTCATCCAAACTGAACTAGCTTCAGGCTGAGTTAATTGCCATTTCTCTTAATGTATAATTTGGCTCACTTGCTTGACAAGCAATTCTCTGTAGAAGTGCTATCAATTTTGTTGTGTACCTAATTTACCAGGAATGGAATCGTGTGGGTAGACCAGGGATAAAGAGTCCTCCTTTGGGGCAACCAAGCAAATTTCTAGTCAGGAAAGTTTTTATTTCCTCAAATAATACTTAGGAATTTGCAGAATTCGCTTTTGAAAAAACAACTTCCTGAAAGGTGCAGCTTGGAATAGTTCAGGCACTGTCAACCCCTGAATACAAGTTGGGAGGAGACATTATAGAGCGGGTAAATACTTGCTTGTAATCCTGTTTTATATACTTTAAGAGAGTGCTTCTGTTCTGCCACGGCCTCCTCTTTGCGGAACAGAAAAAAGGCCAGCCGAGCTTTCAAGGCTATTTTGAGGACAAGAGCAATAGATACTGCAAGTGTGTTTTTAAAAGTGCCTTCTATGAAAGATTAATAATACACTTTCAAGTTAGTTTTTTGCAACCGTGATGGAAACTAATAGAAACCCTCTCTCACCTACCACTCCTAAAATCTCAGCCTCTCTGTCCTGTGCCTGATTTTCTATGCTTCCCTCTCTTTTTTGGGAGGGAGGACTCCTCTCTAAAAATTAATATCTTTGGAGGGAATCCAGTGGATCCTGGCTTGGACTACCTCTCCTGATTCTTGCAGCTGCATTTTTGTATTTCCTTCCGGTGGAAAGCTATTTCAACCAGCAGCTTGACTTTTCTTTTAAAAAATGATAGCTGACCCAACCAGCTGGAAACAGCAGGGGTTGTGTGCCTGAATGTAGACATCATTAGATAAGATATATAAGGGGAAAATTGACCCATCCTGGAAACTGATGCAAAGGGGTGGTTGTAGGGAGGTCACCGGGGTCTCGAGAAACCAGGGGGCGGCTCTCGGATTCCGCAGAAGCCTCCATGGAGTCAAACAAAGGAGGTTTTCAGCATGCCAGAGGGCTGTGGTGAATTGGGAATGTATTAAACTCACTCTGACAAGCCCTCCAGCTCAAAAGATGTTCAGAGCCCCCCCGCCCCGCACTTCCTAGAGTGCTGTCTGCTGGCCCGAGAGGGAGTTGCAGGCAGATATTCTTTCCGACCACCAGCTAGTTGTCCTTTTTAGGTATATCTGGGATCACTGCCTGTATCTAAAGCAGTGTTTTTCAAACTCGGCCACTTTAAGATGCATGGACTTCAACTCCCAGAATTCCCCAGCCAGCATGGGGAATTCTGGGA